ATCTATTAGGCCCGGTATGGCCCAAAGACCTAGCTTATTGCCAGCCTTGCTTACTAACATTGCATATAAAAAATATAAGCTTATTGCTAACTTTACCGGATAATAACTCAAACTTTATGGAACCTAACAAAAGTTAGTGTGAAAGGGAGAATTACACATGCTTATTGTTCAAAAAAGTGGATCGCCCAATGCCTAGGCAATTCCAAAAGGCTTGGATGCATCGGCCATGCCTACGCGGCAGTCCCTAAGCGACCGCCTAGGCGATACGGCACCCGCCTAGGCAAGCAACCAACGTCCAGGGCCTACCCCCCGCCTAGGGGCGAAAATGAGTTTTTCTTTTTATTCTAGTAAGTTTTTTTGAAAAATAAAAGCTTTTAAATATGGTTTTAGTTTTGGAGTTTCTTTTAATCCTATTAGAGGCTGTTTTTGAATATTTTAGCACCATGTTTCGAATTCGAACAATCAAAATTAGTGCAAAACTTTATTTTTTTGACTACTTGTTTTATTTTGAGATGTATTCTTTAGGATCTAGCAGAAGTAGATATCTGGATTGAAAATATGGATATAACCCGAATCTAAATGATAAAAATTGCATTAGATACAATTATTGTGAAAAAGATACAAAACTAAACATAAACCGGTTTAAAAAACATCTTGCCAGTATTAAGAGAAATGTTACCCCTTAAAAATGTTCCTGAAGCTATCAGAGAGGAAATTAAACAATATATGAGTTATATATAACAAAAATATGAACAAAATCCTTGCCATTTGAATAGATCTATTTTTTGTTCTTTTAAAAGAAGTGATCCAGGTTGGAAGTATGATCATAACCAGAAACCAAATGATAAAAATTGTATACGGTATAATTTTTGTGAAAAAAATATCAATGAGGGTATTAACCGATTCAAGAAATATCTTACAGACATTTAAGGGAATGTTCCTTCTTGTAAAAAGATTCCTTAAGCCATTTGAGATGAGATTAGACAATTTTTGAATTTAGAAGAAATAAAAAATGATAGAAATGAACCTTGTTCTATGGAAATATTTATTCATATTTTTCTAGAAGTAGTCATCTAGAAATATGATTATAACCCAAATACAAATGAAAAAAATCAAAATAAATGTAATTATTGTGGAAAGAAAACTAAAGAAGGTATTTACTGGTTCAAAAAACACCTTATTGATATTAAAAGGGATGTTGTCCCGTGTAAAAATATTCTTGATGCTACTAGGGAAGAGATTACACAATTTAAGTTCAAGGAAGCGCAAAAAGATAAGAACGGGTAGAGCAGCCAAAACTCCTAAAGCCTAAGGCCTCATCTTTACATTATAAAAGGGATAAAGAAAAAGATGCAGATTAAAAAAAAACAAAAGAAACCGACCGTTATATTGAAGAAACATTTGACTCTAATGATGATGACCTTGAATCTAATGTACGTGATGAAACTTACCCTTTTCATTCTCATGATGATGACGACTAAATAATGAAGAGTTGAAAATGCTTGAATGCTTGACTCTTGGTGTTGAGTGTTGACCGTTGAGTGTTGAATATTAACCATTGTATCCTAAACTGTATATTTTTTGAATTTCTATATATTTTTTTCTTTTTTTTATTTTTAGTTTCTACTATCTAACTTTTTGGGTGTATCAAACTATCAATGTATGCTTATATGGTTTTACTGTTTTAGCATTGTATAAAAATATGGATTATAGTCATCTGATCTCAATTTTTATCTTCTTTTTTTCAACTAGGCCGCCAAGGTTATGGTATCCCGCCTAGGCTAGGCGGCCTAGACCCCTACGACCGCTTGGGTAACACCTAGCACTTTTTGAAACAATGCACAAGCCTGAGCACAACCGACACAGAGAAAAAAAAAAAAAAAACAAACAAACATAAGATAAGCCTGAATATAGAATGTAGAATAAATCTTAGATCCAAGGCCAAACTTAAGTTTGTGGCGCCTTTTTTCGGTAGTTAAGTTTGTGAAGTCATATATTAGAGAAAAAACCATTGAGATATACAAGCATTTTCATCAATCATAAATAAGCAATGTTTTTAGTACAACAATCAAGAACCTGCGAGGTTGCAAGAAATCAAACCAAGACCAATAACAGATGTTTTCGACGGAGTATTCATCTCTAGATTTGACTTGACTCCTGCAACAAATACCCAAATATCATACACCCAGATCAAAAAGGGCCAACCCATGTTGGAGAAAAGAAGAAAAATGTAGGACCTGGAGCACCTGCATTGATCATGGAAAAGTCCAGAAACTCAAAATATCAGGACAATACTTAGATCTATCCATGCAGGTGACTTGAGTGTTAGGACCATTCTTGGTTTTGCTTTCTACCCCCACCTTGTCCATTAATATTGGACGTCAGATAAGGATGAAATAATCATTCTCAAAGAAATTGACGGGTCAAGGGAAGTCCCTTGATGTCAAAAGTTTCTGGACCACTTGGATGATCCATGCAGATGTTTAAGATTCTATGCTGGCATTTTCCTGAAAAACAGTATACCTCATTGATCAAGAGGCATCCACTCAAGTTCGAGTTCAATTTCTCCGGATTCAACATTCTGAAGCTTGAGAGAGACTTCTTGCTTCACACTACCATCCACAATTCTGATGATGCTATCTTTAAGGAGTGCATTGTCACTTGAAGCCAGCCACTTCCCAATCTGCATATCTTCTACGAACCCCACATCCTCATGGGCCATGGCAGCTGTAACCAAGGGCTGGATGTCGATCTCAGCTTCGCCCATAATGTCATCAGCTGAGAAGGTGTCATGATCAAAGACTTGCTGCTTGAAACAAATAAATAAAAATAAGAGAAAAACCCATGAATAAGATAGGTGGTTTTTGTATCCATTATTTCTGCGAATTTTGTATGGGTTAGTGGAACATTTTAACTGCCAGCGCACAATGCTCATCGGTAAGAAACAAGTAAAGCACTCAAAAAATTTGACTTGATAGAAAATCAGTAAGGGAGATTAGTGTGTGATATCATTATAAACGAGAAGGCGAGTAATTCCTCCCAGTGGCCTTTTGGGTTATTTTTCCTTTTGTTCTGACACATTAATTTTTGGCAGGTTGGGAGAGAGTGTATAAACTACAGTTTTTCTAAGTGTTCCAGATTTTGCTTTTGTGGTGCTCGGTCAAATTTTAGAAAGCAATAGTACATGCATAATATCATTATCAAAATTTAGAAGCAATTGATGCCATGAACTGAAATGAAGGGGGTCATCCCATGTTCAACATCCTGAAATCAGAATCTTTTTTTGTATATATTGATAGGTCGGCTTCAAAATGTGTTGTAGATGCAACTCTCACACTACAAAAGATACAACACTTTGATTTAAGCTTATAACATTGTTTAAATACTAGGTAGATTTACAGTCGGGTTATATCAAAAGAAAAAGAACCAAGAAAATTTGCATGAAATTAAACTCCTGATATAATAAAGTTTACAAAATTCCTGTTAAGAGCCATCAAAAAGACAAAATAATAACCATTCAGAAAATTTTCAGATAGTCAGCTGGAGGGAAGCACTTGCTGGGCATACCAGTTTAAGGGCCCCATAACTTTCTGGAACCGAAAGCATTAGTTCTTCATCCCAAACTGGATTCAAATTGCTCTTTATCACCTTAGTCTTCACCCTCTACAGTAAGATGTAAATCCACATTAAGCACCCGGACGAGAAAAAGAGGATAGAACTTTCTAGTCCACCATCATATCATAATCAAATAAGTAACAAAGGGGTCGGGCAACAGAGCCATGTGAAATATACAGCTCTTAGTCCCGAGACTTAAGTTTTTCTTCTTATCCACACACTAGAGGAGAATATGAAAGGGGGCCGCAACAGAAAAAGAAGACAGTAAAAACCAACCTGCTGTCCAATTGTAAGGATAACATAAGGATCGCTAGAGAGCATATCTCTAATTGCTAAATCTGTACCCTTTATCACTTTGACTTTCATCAAGCCAATGAATTCCACCATCCCTACCTGTTATCACTTTGAAACTTGCATTAATGTAATTACCACCCAAAATTTTAGTATCCCAATTGAGCTCATTTTTGCAGTGTTTATCATGTGACAGAAACCGCTAAATAAATGCATCTTTGACGCGGCCAAAATACCAGAATGTGCGACTAGTGAGATTGATGCACAGCTTGTATAAAAACTTAATATAATTCGTGAGAATGACACAAGAAAAAAAGTACAATTTACAGCATGCGTACCATCTTTTGTGATGTCCTAGAATCATAAGATTGAACAGAAGAGTTCCTTTGTGCTGAAAATGATATGATTCTCAAGCTCGGTTTCAAAAATTCTTGCAATTCATATTTAGACCTATTGGAAGGAGAAATAGGAAATGGCATCAGCCAAATTACAGGTTTACATGAGCATAAGACACAGGAAATAACAACCTTATAAAATGAGAGCGTTCTTCATAGCCTGAATCAGGACCAGGCTTTGAAAAGCCTGCAGGAATAGAAGCTTCATAAATTGCATTTGCAGAGGAATTCCCACCAACTTCAATCATTGAGTCAATTTGATCATCAGTCCAATCATCTAAGGACACAGACAAGACCTGAATAGAAAAGCAGTCCTCATAAAACATTTATGTACCCATATAAATTAAAGTTGGGAAAATGCTCTGATGATGGTGACACACGTAAATTAAAAGCCTTTCATTAACCAATACACTAAGATCATAACACATTAGTACAAAACAGTGATTAAAGGCCTGAACTCAGGCTAGGACTCGCCAGCATCCTGAGCCCAAGTCGAAGGCTGAGTAGAAGTCGAAGGTCCGATTTGGCTGCTCCTATAGAAAATACAATAAAAACCCATGACTTGGGTTAGACTTGCCCCTCTTAGGGTTATTCAACTGGACCCAGCTCCCTGTCGAACCCAAGTAACCCGTGCGAGTCATAGCCCAAGTCACCGAGTTTTTAAGTACTGCTTAATGCTTCAAATGCCATTGATGAAAAGTCCAACTCAAACATTTCCACCATATACAATTAAAGTAATCATGTGCATGTACTCGAAAGAACTTGCAATGAGTAACCACATGTAACTATGGCATTAATTGTAGTTAGGATTTTCACCAGATTGTTATGCCTTATACTAAATTATGCAGAGAAAAGGATCTTTATGTCCTTTAGCATATGTTTAAGGTTATAAGCATCTGGTGTCTACATATTACCACTGTATCTCATATCTTAAGCAATAAATGAGCAACAAGGCAGCCCCTCTTAAAGCATCATGCCTCTCTCTCTCCATCCTCACCTCTCGATAATATAGATTAAAAGGTTGCATTTCAATGTTCTTGTTCCCTCCTTTTTCGACTAAACCCTAACCCTAACCTTAAACACACACAAGCAGACTACAATTCCATAACAACAGAAATTCAACCATGGCAAAATGTGGATCTGCAACAGAAATCTACATGGCATCAGAGTGGATTCGTTCTAAAACTTGCAAGCAAGATGAGAAGAACAAAGTTCCCTTCGGTAATGATCAAGCTCAAAAAGGTGTGTGGACAAGGGACTCTTGTTAAAACACTAGAGGGACTTACCCTTTTTCTTTCCATGAGAGATGAGTTTGGAAGCTCGCACAGGCTCATCTTTCATCTTCGAATTGGAATCTACTCAGGAATTCATCAACTTGACCTCTGTGCATGAGTACATTTGATCATAGAAGGATGGCAGGAGAATTCCATGAGCTTATGAAAGTTGATTCGCAATTAAATATCCTTTGACCTCACCAAAATCTTTAGCCTGCTTGTATGATCAAATCGACCCATTCAGAAAACAAAAGGCCACACCATGAATTGCTAAGAAATTCCAAACAAACCTATTAAGAAAGTTGACAAGTTAATATTGAGGGCTTCCAGACACATTTGTTATGGAAAGAGGGAGAGACCACAAGGTCCGAGTTACTGCTCTAAACCCTTCAAGAAAAAAAAGAGGAACCAATTCAACCCTCGTTGCACAGCAGGAAACTCTCAAGAACATCAATAACAATACTTATCCAACCACCTCAGTTCGGGCTTCTCAGAATCAAGGGTAACTACATTTTTCTTATTAGTGTATGTGAGGTTTTGTTGCAGTACTTCGCGTTATTCTGTGAGGATAATCAGTTTAAGGTGGTGTATAGGTTCTATAGAAAACTTGCAGTGGGACATCAATGTAATAATTGGCATTAATTGCAATTTTGCAATACAGGTTCAGAATCTGGGGGACTGTCTTATTGTAGCTGCTACAGAGATAAAATGATCTTTACATCATTTAGTATATGTTTAAAGTTAAGGGTTCGCCATAGTTTTGTTTTCCGACACATGCTCATTGTATCGCATTTCAGAAGGGATGAATGACGAACTCTTTAGACTCTCCTTCTAACTCTCCACAATGCTATAGAGTGGATCTACCACGAATTTCAATATGGCACCAGAGTGGATTCGTCTACAACTTGCAAGATAAGAAGAATATTACAAGTCAAACTCAAAGTCCCCACAGTAGACACTGTTTTTAATCATGTGTGTGTGCTTAAAGAACTTGCAATGTGTATAACAATGTAACTACGCCATTTGTTGGCATAAGAATTGTCTCAGGGATGCCCCATTTTACCAACTACGCAAAAAAGGATCTTTGTGTCCTATACTATATGTTTGAGGTTATAGGTGTCTAGAGTTTGTATAGTTCTCCTACATACACCCATTGCATCTCACCTCTTAAATGATGTGTCTAGGGTTGTCAGAGTCTTTTTTCAATATATAGCCATGGTATCCCATACCTTAATTGATAAAAGAGCAATATTGAAACCCCTTTTAGACCCCCATGCCCCCTCGCTCCCTCCCTCCCTCCCTCCCTCCCACCCCACCCCCACCAAAAACAGGAAAAAAAAAATGTATCCCATATCTTAGTTGATAAAGTTTATAAATGAGCAATATCGAAAGCCCTTTAGCGC